AAGTAAGTAGCTATTAACTTAGATTTTTTTTTATGAAGAGTGTGACAGGAAAATAAATTATTTGTTCATTCATGCTATTTCTAAAGCTGGCCATTCATGAATGACTTCAGGTGGTTTACAGAAGGTTTAAACAAGTAATAAAGGTAAATGAAAGCAATAGTAAAAATAATCACAACAAGAAAAAAACCACTATTATATATTTGCTTTACATTTGTTTATTTAGAATTGCAAACAAAATTATTATTATTATTTTATTTTTATTTATTTTATTTTATCACTATTATTTTTTTAAGGGGATCCCCGACGACCATATCCAACTGATTTGGAGATGAGAAGTGGTCTTTTGGGTCAGATGAACAATCCTTCAGCAAATGGAGTTAATGGACACTTACCAGGAGATGCACTTGCAGCTGGAAGATTGCCAGGTAATAGAAATTTGAGAGACATGAGTCTGCTGTCAAGTGTGTTGATATGCACACTTTATATGTATAAAATGCATATACATGTACGGGATATGCAACATGGAACCTTAGGCAAGGCAAATGTACATCACAGACGTTCATGAAATTAGGAAAATAAAGACAAGTCCCTTGAAATAAACTAAGAATGAATTTATTTAAAATAAAAATAGATTGAAATATATTCAAAGAGATTAAAAATGAAAATATTAAAAGCATTTGTTGATCACTGTACTGAAATGTGTGTACATTATTTGCACAGGCTTGAGTAAAAGAATTGATTGTTTTAAAAAAGCTTAGATTTAGTATTTTATCAGGAGATTATTTCTAACTTTTAAATCAAAGCTGGTCTGTAATGGAAAAACAAGTGACACTATGAAATGCAGTAGAGGGAATTAAGATCAGGATGTTTTCAGATTTTAGCACTTAGCAGCATTTAAACTTATATACTACCCCATAGTGCTTTATAGCATCCTCTGGGCGATTTACAGAGTCAGCATATTGCTTCCAACAATCTGGGTCCTCATTTTACCAACCTCAGAAGGATGGAAGGCTGAGTCAACCCTGAGCTTGATCAGGATCAAACTCCAGGTTGTGGGCAGAATTTGCCAGCAATACTGCATTCTAACCACTGCATTATCAGGGCTGGGGGGGGGGATTGGAATATCAGCATCATCTTACCACTGAAGTTGAGAACTATGGAGGGAATAAGGTTGCCTTCTTTTTCTGTAAGATGCTTTTTTGGTGAAAGTGCATATACTGCTAATTTTAGAGGAAAGAAAGACTACTGAGGGATGATTTTAATCCTGTGATTTTTTTAAATGGAAAAAATAAAGCTTTATTAATGGCAAGAAGAGTTAAGCACATGAATTTCTAAAGAAGTCAAGATTCTGATAGTTTGAGATAATAGCCTGAGAAATAAATTAAACAAAAATAACAAAAGGGTGGCTTGGAAAATAGTACAAAAAAGTGAGGTACATGCTAAACCAGAGATTTCTAGGGTTGATGTCAGAGTGAAAAGCAAATTGGCTTATTGACCAATTAAAATAAATGGAAGATAGCATCAAGAATAGCTGCTTTTATTTGCTGCCTTGTCTATCATGAGAGCTTTGTTTATGTTCTTCTAAAGCCCAGGTTGGCAGCACAGTGCTTGCAAATGCCACTGAATTCTTGCAGAATCACTAGTATACCCTTAAAGTATCCACATCCTTTAACTAATCAGCATATCATTTCACCATTACCTACATCTTAACATTCTGTATCCTCTGAGGTTGCACTGTCTTGGCTCAAGGTAGTAGAGGATAACACAAATGCTGCAGGAGAACCAGTTGTAGCTGTTGATATGCTTGTTGGGAAGCTTTATGAGCTGCTTGATAGAAAGATAAGGTTCTGTAGGTGGAGGCAAAAAGAATAGACATTGACCATTGCAAAGTTACATTTGAAGTGGTTTGTTAATCTACTACTACCAGCAATATTTTTTTAAAAAAATTAACTATGGCCACTGGTTTATATTTCATTGTACATGGGAAATATGTCACATTTATTATGGGAGAAATTTGTTTTACTCTGGGAAATCCAGTTTTGATGCTTGGAGGAGGTCATTTGATTTATATCAAGGAGGGTGTTTGTCCAGTTGTTTAACACTATCTATTGGCTGTCCATTCAATTTGCAAAGGGAGAAGGTATACAGTAAACAGTTGTGCCCCAATGGAAAATCAATTGTTAAAAAATTGAAGAGGAATATTAGTTGATTCAATTATTTTTATCTGTTAAGCATGTGTAGTATAATTTGAAATCGGGAATCTGGTATCATCTTTTTAGATTAACCAATTTTATTATGGGTACTCCTCAATTTACAAACCCCAATTAAGCCCAAAATTTCTGTTGCTAGATGAGACAGTTGTTGTGAGTTTTGCTACATTTTACAATCTTTCTTGCCACAGTTAAGTGAATCACTGCAGGTGTTACATTAGTAACATGGTTGTTAAGTAAATCTAGCTTTCCCACTGACTTTGCTTATCAGGTCGCAAAAGGGAATTACGACTCCAGGACACTGCAATCGTCATGAGTTAATTGCCAGGTATCTGAATTTTGATCATGTGACCATGGGGATGCTGCAATGGTCATGTGAAAAATGGTCATCAGTCACTTTTTTCAGTGCTGTTGTAACTTTGGTCATCAAATGAATGGTTGTAAGTTGAGGACTACCTGTACAAAGCAGTCTTAGCATCAGAGGATTTAATGGGAAAAATAGTATGTTTCTGTCTTCTGAAATCAGTGGGAATTACTGTACAAATGTGTGGCTAGTTTATTTTGATTTTTGTAAAACTGATGTGCAATTTTATATTGTGAATTTCTGGTTGTCAGTCAGAAGGTTCTTCCATGTCATTTTAATATATTATTAAAAAAACAAATAGAGCATGGAGTAATTGTAGATTTCTTTTTTCTTCAGATGTTCTTGCACCGCAGTATCCCTGGCAATCAAGTGACATGTCAATGAACATGCTTCCTCCTAATCATAGCAATGACTTTATTTTAGAACCTCCTGGACATAATAAGGAGAATGAGGATGATGTAGAGGTTATGTCAACAGATTCCTCGAGTAGCAGTAGTGACTCCGATTAGGGCATGCATCTGATTGTAATAACTTGATTGTATCAGCGAAAGAAGATTGTATATCATCATTATACATATTCTGCATTCCAGATGGAGGCTGTGGTACCAAGGAGGAAACTTACAAATTCATAAGAATCATTATCTTGTATTTGATGAATATGACTTTATCCCAGAATTTCAGATAATTGTTGGAAAAAGGGTGGCGATAGCCACTGGAAATATGTTATGCTCTGACATAATTTATTTTGGTATTGTTTACTCATAACAATGTTTTAGCACAAAATAAATATCTATGAAGTTGCAAGTTAGCTGTTGCATGTGAACAGATACTGTTCTATAAACAGCAAAGAATTGCAAGGAGCAAATGTCACTGGTTCCTTAATTCATTTTTATGGTAAGTCTTCCAGTCTTTCAAAATGGATCTTCAAGCAGCAGAGATGTGGGAGAAAATTCCATTCTTCAACTCCATGAACAGAAGCATTGTATGAGTAATGGATTCTAATGGAGCTTTAGATCCAATAATATTTCCAATTGCATAAAATCAGAAAATATTTGTCATGATTCCGAAAGATGAAGCTCTTCAAAGAACTTTGAGGCATTGTTTACCTTAAAGAATCTTTTAATTTGCAACATAGCTTCGGCACGACATAGTGAAGCCAAAATCTAAATTCTCCTCCCCCAGGCACACAGTAACAAAGCATAACTCACTCCTTCATTTAACAGTCATTAATCACATTCTCCAATTAGTTTGAAGTGTGAACTTTCCCTCCCGTTATCTCCTCTTATTACAACTAACTTTGAAGAATTCTACTGAGATATTATTATGGCTAACTAGTCCCCAAGCACATTCTTTCTCCCCTCCTCCCTTCCAGCACCATCTAATTTTAACTCTAAAAGTAACACACAGGTTAAATAGAAAATGTCTGCATCTTCATATATTGTCAAGCAAGAACATCCGATGTTAGCAGCATTGACATTATTTAGATGAGACTTCTCCAGCCTGCTACTTTGCATGTGTGTTAGTTTGTAATATTCTACCAGCACTCCCACTTCCTAGGCTTTTTGTGATGAGAGATGTAGCCCAATGCACACAAAGAGCATGAGGGTATAAAATAATTTATGAATTTTACTAGTATGATTCACTTACAATCAGGTTGTATATGTTTGTAGTGAATAAAAGGTTTTAAATATAAAATAGTAGGTTTTCACTAAAAATACTGAATGTATTGTGGTCACATGTTGTCTTGTTTAATGAATGCGGGGGAAGTGAGATCATAAGGTATGTAATATCTCGCTGAATCATGGAGTTGCTGGTCCCAACTGTGATTATTAAACATGGACAACCTGAATGTTTAACAGTAAGCTAGGCCCATTAAACATGCCCTAAATCTGGCAACCAGAGTGTGTCCGGGAGATGGCTTTGGTTCTCAATCTTGGAGGTCAGAGAGAATGAATTAAAGAGGATAGTGAAGTCAAGGGGAACAGGAGAGAGATGGCGCCAGATCATCAGAAACCAGGAAGGGCAAAGGAAAACATCAGTGATAGAAGCTAAGGACAGCCATAGAACAGGGGTCCCCAATCCCCGGTCTGTGGACCAGTACCGGGCTGCAGCATGCCAGCAACCGGTCCGCACAACAAGTAAAGCCCCATCCATGGAATGCAGGCAGCACACAAAACCACGCCCCCTCCGGTCCATGGAAAAACTTCTCTCCACGGAACTGGTCCCTGGTGACCAAAAGGTTGGGGACCTCTGCCATAGAGAGAAAGACTATGATGGAGAAAGGGCGGGCTTTTCAATGGGAACACTGGGGACTTGGCCTTCCCAATGAACTAGAGCAGGGGTAGGCAACCTTGGCTCTTTTATGACTCATGGACTTCAACTCCCAGAATTCCTGAGCCAGCATAGCTGGCTCAGGAATTCTGGGAGTTGAAGTCCATGAGTCATAAAAGAGCCAAGGTTGCCTACCCCTGAACTAGAGGAAGAAGTAAATTTTAAGAAAACCTGAGTAATAAGAATAGATTCAAACATCCTGGAAACCTTTTTCTTAAAAGCTGACTTATTGGTTAAATGAATTGGCTGGTTCTTTATATTAAGCCAAAATTAAATTGATATACTCTGTGAATTCAGCCTGCCTGTTTAAAATTTCACTTGTTATACTTGGCATATATTCCCGACTGTTTTCACTTTTTGCTGTTTATCTAATCTGCTGGGATCCCTTGCTAAAATACTGTTTATATTAGTTTTAAGTTAAAAAAAACAAACCAGCACTTTCCTCTTGGATCTCAGTCCTCTGCTAACTTCTCCTTTTTCTTTCCAATTAAAATATCCCCAAATCAAACACTTTTTGTTTAAAAAGAATTTTCCTGAAAAAATTAAAGGCTGAGTTCACATGAAATGGATTTTCATAGTCCCTGGTTTATTCAGTTAACCATAGAGACAAGTTTCACACAATACACTGAACTAATGTGGCTGAACAGATTTTGGATCAGCGTATCATGCAAAAATAACTATATAGTGGAAACAACACAATGTGAGTTATATAGTTGCATAAAATGTATAGTTCTTCCCCATAATTGGAAAAGTTTCACAGGTTTTTATAATGAAAAAAGGCTTGCACACTGGTATTTTTTCTTCTTTACAATGGTATACTTCTTCTAAATCAGAGAGCAAAATGGATTAGAATGGGAAGAGTTTAAAATATGGACCTTTGTGATTACACTGGATCATATCAATTATGGGGGCAACTATAATGCTTTTACTATACAATCATTTTTTCCGACAGAGCAAAGTAACATAAAATATAGGATGCATTATTGCAGCTGCTTTGACCAATAACAAAACCATAAGTATTATAAGCATGCATTAACCCCTGTATACATCATAGGATACATCATTGTATTAAAATATCTGTTATAAAGGAAAATAATCTGAAGCTATATGCCAAAATAGAGCTTTTGGAGGGAATATGATTAGTGCCAGTCATGCAGTAATGACAGGTTGGTTCCAAGTATTTAGAGCAAATGTACAACTTGGCACTGATAACAAAAGTCTCTTCATAGGGGCTATTGATATATTGTCTGTTTTAAATCCAGAAAATATAACTTATAGATTTCCAGTGTATCCAATCAGATGATTTAATTCTTCTTTGAAAGGATTATAATTTTGTTCTCTTAAGCAGCGTAGAGGCCAGAAGAGTTTATTGGCTGGTGGAAACTCATCCCATTTTACCCATTCCCAACCTACAAAAAGAAAAAGAACAGAAATGTTTCAGGGTAAGAAGTAAATTAATCTGTCAATGATTGCCAGGATGATTTAGTGTTAGACTGGGAAACTGGAGTTTGTATAAAGAAGAAAGTCATTGGAAAATAGTAAACTCCTAAAAATCCCACATTGTTGTGATACAAAGATATGATTTTTTTAAACCTAGAAACACAAAAGTACTTCATCGTTTTAGACTGCTCCAAATGGCTATGACAGCTGCAAGTGGTTAATTATTGCTTCAGTGACACACATAAGTACAAGCCCAGCCCTGTATAATATATTAGCCCTGAAGGATTAGGTCAAAGAGCATCTTAATCCAGCATTTTGTTTCTCATACAGTACTTGTTACCAAGGGATCTTCAGAAGAAGCAGATGGAAACAAACTGTTCTCCTGCATAAAATTAGACTCAAGCATTCCTGTTTTATTATTACAATTATCTGAGTTGCAACCTGCCTAGTTATTTTGGAGTCTTACAGTTTGACATGATATTCTGTTACAGGAAGTTTAAAAGACAAATATTAAGTAGACAACTCAAAGGGTAATACTGGGACACCTTTTCAGTACCCTATATCCTGGAAATTAATTCGGTTTACTTCAAGATAAATCAGGCAAACTTTCAGCCCAAGCCTTACCCAGATATAATATCAACAAATAAGGGATATGATTTGTACTTTCACACACCCAAAAATGTTCAAACAAAAAAAGCAGCATACCATTCTTGCATTATACATATATGCAGACAACATGGATAGAGTTTTTTAAAAACTTACTTTCATTTTTATCAGGTTCCAGATTCTTTGGTTCGGATTCATGATTCATATCAACTTCTCCTTTCATTAGGATGGTGACATAATGGTAATTGTCCTTTAAACTAGCAGCATTTACCACTGAAGCAAACTGCACATTTGTTAGATGCAAGGCAGCTTCTTCTAAAGTTTCTCTCTTTGCACATTCTACCAAATTTTCACTGCACAGAGAGGAAAAAAGGAAGGAAATATGAGTTATTCAGAAAACAAGAGTGGTCCTATCTATCAGTTTGAAACATCACAAGAATCCAGTTTATATGACAACTAGCAGGCTTCTACTCTGAACAAGGTGCCTGAATATTTTTGTCAACTTTGTTTGCCCTTATTCTCAGAGAAATGGGTTTGCTTATAAAGAAGTGATAGCACTTTATTTTCATTAATTCTTTTTCTGTGATGTAGCATAATTAATAATATCTGTTTACTGGTGTAAAGCCTTTTTGTATGTTGAGATAATGGAAAATCTTTGATGTTTCAGTAGTCTCAGACTGTTTTTCTTATTTATTGTACTTTAATAACCCTATGGAGTGGCTATGGATAGATAGGAGTCAATCATGTTTAGTCTTAGATGGAGTTGCACTGCCCCAGACAGACTCAGGGCATAATCTGGGGGTCAGGTGGTCAGAAGTGAGGCAGGCCCCCACTTTCCTAGCCTTCTGAAAAAGCATTAAAACATGGCTCTACCCCAGACAAAACCAGCAAGGCTGCATAAAAAACTCTGGTAAACTGAAAGACAAAAGAGACAAGTAGAAAAAGTAGAAAGAGGGACACATAAGTAAAACAGAATACCAGTATATAGCCTGAATCTGCAGATGACATCAGGAAAGCTAAGAATCAGAAGTAAGAACTAAGACTTGCAATAAATGTCAAAAATAATAAACTTTCTTTCAATATGTAAAACACAAGAAAAGTCAAGGAAACGATCAGTCCACTAATGGGAGATGATGGCAAGGAGGTTACAGGCAGCAGTGAAGAAAGCAGAACTGCTTAAATATGTAAGACTGCTAAAACAAATAAAACTGGATCTGAAAAAGTGGAAAAACTTCCATCTTTCAATGCTGGGGAGAATAGCAACAGTGAAAATGAATATCTTACCAAAAATCTCTTTTTATTTCAAACGATTCCTGTAAGGCTGGGAAAAGCCTTTTTTGATGAACTGAATACAACAATACTGAAATTTATCTGGCAAGGAAAAAAAGCTAGAATTAGACTGAAAATGCTATAAGAAGCGAAAGAAAGTGGAGGATTTGGACTGCCGGACTGGAGGTTATACTACCAAGCAACTATTTTAATATGGCTTAAAGAATGGATAATGCTTAGAGACAAAAGACTATTATACCTAGAGGGGCATGATCTACAAATTGGTTGGCATGCCTTTCTGTGGTATGGGAAGAATAAAATACATAGATACTTTCAAAACCACTTTATAAGAAATGCACTTCTTTCAGAATGGGAAAAAATAAAAGCAAAAATTTACATTAAGATACCTGGATGGCTTTCAACAATAGAAGCTTTTGCTTACCCAAATTTAATTAATTATGACAAAGTTGTGACCTATAAAGATATCTTGGACAATGAAGGAAAAATGAAAGGCAGACAATATTTACAAGAACAAGGTATTGATCTATCATGGAGGCCATATTTGCAAATCAAAACGAGATATGAAAAAGATGCTAAAATAATGGGATTCTATAAAGAACAGACAGAATTTGACCAGATACTGTTAAAACAGATGAAAAGTTGATTAAGAAACTCTACAAATATCTGTTAAACTTAAAGATGGAGGAAGAACAAGTAAAAGAAACAATGATAATATGGGCAAAGAACTTTGGATATAATATAGAATTAGAAGACTGGCAAAAGTTATGGGAAAGAAATGTTAAATTAACTAAAGCAGCGGCATATAAAGAAAACTTCCGGGCTTCCAGTTTGTGCTCACGGCACTAGCGGATGTGCGGGACGATCGCTCCCTCCGTCGTCCGGTTTTCTCCCACCGGGGGACCCTGAAAAGGGTCGGAAGTTGCCCTGGAGGGGCGGCGAGCGTGAAGAGAACCTCTGACTGATCGCGGAAGGGCAGCAGCCCTCCCGTTTGATCCGGAGCAGCTCTTTGAACTGAGGGGAAAAGATCGGCCATTAATATGGCCCATCACTAAGCCGTTACCAGCCAAGGCGAAAATTACTATCAAGCACTTCGAAAGCACCGCAGAGGAATTGGGTGAGATCTTACCTTCTTTGTATCCCAAGTATTTTCCTGAAAAAAGCCTCTTGAAATTTCTTCCCCTTTGTGGAGAGAGGAAAGGGAACATCTTCCTCCCACCCTCTAAAATGGCAGTGTCTGACTACTTGGGGAAAAAAACCTTGAAAAGAACAACTAAGTATTTGGATTTGCATCTTTTTGATATTTGGGGACCCAAAAAGTTCCTATTTTCACAGGGATCTGTTACAGCCCAGACCTGTCCTTGGTACTATCTAAGAGAGATAAAAAGTTGAGAGAACAGCTGGGCGGTGAAATTGGCTTTTAGGAACTGTGGAGGTGAACACTTACTGACTCTTATTTAAAAAATAGCCTCCACTAAAGGACATTTATAACTATCTCAGAAATGGAGGACCAGCAACAAATTTCGGCTAATTACAAACTTATACTTGAAACAATTCTTGAATCTACTGAGATAATTAAATCTAGACTGAAAGACAAAGGTGCCAGCTTAAACCTACAAAATAAAACCCTGATTCCAACTAAAGAACTTACAATTCAAAAAACAACAGAAGTGGAAGAAATTAATACCAAGACAGAGAACTTTAAAGAACAACAAGTACAACATACTGAAATTTTGACAACCAAGCCCTGATTGCAACTAAAGAACCTACAACCCAAAGAGCAACAGAAGCGAAAGAAAGTAATACCAAGACGGAAGGTGTTAAAGATCAACAAGTACAGCACACTGAAAACCTAGACAACCAAACAACAACCATAAAATTGGACATGACTTTTTACTTAAACCAGAAGAAACCTGAGGAAGAAGACCAGACCGAATTGAAGATAAATACACTAGAGCAAATATGGAGACCTGACCCACCAGGGCAACAATTTAATGATTATAAATGGGCCAGTTCCTCTGGAAAATTAATAACCAGATGGTCTCCTTTGATTCAAATAACATGTGCAAGAATGAAGGGAGATCTATCTGATGATTTAAAAGCATTGGTATGGAAGCCTGATTGGTATAAAAAGAAAGCTAGAGTTATATTTTAAAAATGGAGTTCTAATTTATGACAAAAGATCCTAATGTCTCAACTAATGAGCCAAAGGGAGATTTTGAGATGAAGGGAAATGTGATTATAGATTTAAATATTGTTGGAAAATGATAAAAAATAGGGATTAATTGGCTTAATATTTAGGATTTAGATTCATAAGGGAAATGAAAATTAACTATTGGAAATAGCTTCGAATTATTGTTTAGCCCAGATGATACAGATGGACTTGAGACAATAAAGGACACTCTATTAGTAAGTGGTGATGTACTAGGATGAGAAATAGAAAATGTTTATGAAATAAATTAAGAATATATTTAAGTAAATAATATGTGTATCTTAGATGTTATAACTTTTATGTTGTGAAATAAAGGAAATTTGGGTTACTCGAAACTTAAATACTATGAATTAAATACTATGAATGTTAAAGATTAAATTGGAATACCGTAATTAAAAATTAGGTAAAACTTAATAACAGGACATGGATATGTATAAGCAAAAAATATATTGATAAATGTCTCAACTGAGCTTGTTATAATTAGAAATTTACTTGTTTAAATATGATATAGCAAATGTTAAGGGAAATAGAGAAGGAATTATTGATGATGCATACTGACATATGTACTAAAGATTTTGTTACTGAATTATTCATTACCCAACCACCACACTACTTTCTAAATACTTAAATGTAAAACTGGAAAACCAATAAAATGTGTTATATAAAAAAAGAAAACTTATATAAAATGTTTTACAGATGGCATATGACACCAGTGAGATTAGCAAAAATGTTTAAAAATACTTTAAATAAATGTTGGAAATGCAAACAAAGACCAGGTACTTATTACGATATCTGGTGGACATGCCTTAAAGCAGGGCTTTTCAACCGGTGGTACGCATACCACTTGTAGTACATTAATGAGTGGCAGGTGGTACGCAGCCCTGCCTAGCCAAGTGTAGCGGGGGAGGGAAAGAGCCAGCATAGGCAAGGACTTGCAATGAGAGAGTCCTCTGGAGCTACAAAGGCCCCAGGCTCACTTCTGGCTCACCCTCCCCCATGAGAAAGGAGGAGGGGAGGCGGAGACAGGAGAGCCTATAAAAGGAGGCAGTTTGGGCAGGAGAGGGAGAGAGAGAAAAAAGCAGCAGCCTTGGGAGGAGGCAGAGTCAGCTGCACCAAAGGGAAGAAAGGGGGAGGGGGAGGGGGAGGTTGGGGGGAGAGATCAAGCAGACTGGCCATGAGCCGATCTACAACTGCTGTGGCAGCCACCTGTGCTGGCAGCAGCAAACAGGCAAGAAATGCATTCCAAGAGGAATGAAAAAAGGCAGCAATGGCTGGAGGTGAGGCACGGAGGAGGGAAGGAGGATGGAGAGTGGAAGGATTCTTATGTGCTTTTGTGACTTTGAAGTACTGGGATTTGTGCAATGAGGGCTTTGTGTTCTTAAGGAGCGTTTGGCAATTTCTATTTGGCTGATGGCTGATGTCTTGTTTAGCTTCTCTTGTTAGCTGTGAGTTTTGCTGCAAGGGATTTTGAAGTATTTTTCTCCTGAACGGATTTTGCCTGTAACATTCCTTTACTTATGAATGGAGCCATTTGGGGAGGTTGCCTTAGCCGGCAGCCAGTACTTACTTTTTTTTTTCTTCCTTAAGTGCCGGCTGCGCTCCTTAGTTTCCTTTCTAGCCATAGCTAATTCTTAAAGGGGAATGTGCCTTTTTAAGCTAGTTCACTCAGCAGCTTGTTTTTTCTGTCTCTGGAGGCTTTTCCTTGTTTGATCAATATATGGAAGAGGGAAAATATGGGGGGGGGGGGGTTTCCAATTCTTCCTTCAGAAGGAGATGGGAATGAGAAAAAGGGAGGCAGGGAAGGGAGGGAGGAAAGGAAGTCCTGCCTTAGCACTTGGCCACCAGCGGCTCTGC